ACATCTTGAATTTTTGCCTAAAACTTTATCAACACATTGAAAGATAATATGCAAGGAGAAACCCTGAGAATTGTAAATGTTTAATAAAACTATAAGAATAAATTGAATAGTTTGTGTGACTGAATATTTCATGGTTGGTTTGCGTGGGTGAATGAGCACGATTTTATTTGGGAGTAGTGTTGGGACTGCAGTTGGAATTCTTCTTTCATCACTTAACAACTAATTATATGACTTTGGAAAAAATAACCGAATACCTCTGGCTTTGGTTCAGTCATTGGTAAAATGGGAGATAATAATTGTGTCTGCCTCACAGTTGCACTGAGCATTCTATGAGCTGTGTCTGTGGAGGGCTTCGAAAAGTTCTTGGCATATTGCAAGCACATTATAATGATTATTTATTGAGTATGTAAGATATGTTAAGTGCATTGGAAGACAGTATAGCATGGATTTGGGGCAAGTTACTAACGTTTCCTGGGCCCTAATTTCCTTGTCTGTGAAGATAGCAATAATTTCTTCCACCTTCAAAGGTAGGGTTGTGTAGACATTAACTGGATCAATATATGAGAGGCCCTTAGAACAAAGTGTGGTGTGTCAGTAAGCATCTGGTTAATGTTTGCCTCTCGTAATGCAGATGCAAAGTCATTTAAGTGTCACAACAGCCCCGGAATGTATGTGTGTGTTAATTTATTTTTATTTGAAAGGCAGATTTTCAGAGAGAAGGAGAGACAGAATGAGATCGCCCATCTGCTCTTTTACTTCCCAAATGGCTACAATGGCTGGAGCTAGCCTACCCAAAGCCAGGAGCTAGCAGCTTCATCCAGATTCCCCCATAGGTGCAGGAGCCCAAGGACCATTTTCCATTGATTTCTCAGGCCAAAGCAGGGAGCTGCATGGAAAGTGGAGCAGCTGGGACTTGAACTAGTGTCCATATCCAATGCTGGTTCTTGCAGGTGGAGGCTGCCTCTGTGGAGCCATGATGCCAGCCCTCAGGTGACATTTTAACTGCTGTTTCAAACACTCTGGAGGAGGAGACAGGTTTGCAGTCTTAGAATTTGAATTCAGATCTGAAGCACAAACTGCCTGACTGGTCCTTGATTGAGGTCGTTACACTGACCAAGGCGAAAGCATCAGGGATGTTTGACCTGGAGACCCCCTGCTATGTTCTCTCTCTTGGTTTTAAAGGTGCTGTTCCCCTAAATTTTGTGATTCATGGGGCTATTTAATTTTGTGTCTCTTTGGCAAAGTTATCCAGGCCTAATGAATGCCTGAATATGTGTTTAACTTTGGTTACTTTTAGTGTTTTCCCTCCCCCTCCCCTGGTATGGAAGATTTCATTGTTTTTGTTTTGTTTTGCAGCTGCACAGAATGTGTGTGCCTGAAGGCGTCTTTGGGGGCTTTGTTTTACATGTCCAAGAAGTTAATGAGCACATATAGGATGTGGGTGCAGTTCCCTTAATGCATGTCATATTGTTCTAAGAAAAACTGATTTTGCATTTTATTTTTGAGTTGAAAGATTGGCTTTGTACCATTTACCGTATAATTTGAGCAGTTGGAAGATAAGATCAGAAAAAAAATAGGGTGATAACCGTATGTAGAATGTTGGGAATTTTGTTTTTCTCACTTCTAGATCATATTTTCTGCAGTTTTATCATTTAAAAAGCTGAATTGTTTCTGAAATTGGAAGGCATAAAAGGACTTTCAAGTTATTTCTTTAGCTAGATTTCCTATAAAAATTTTAGTTTACGTTTATTTGGAAGAATTACGAAAGGAGGAGAGAGAAAAACAAGACAAAACAGACAGAATCTGCTGGTTCATTCCCCAAATGACCACAATGGCCAGAGCTGAGCCAGTCTGAACCCAGGAGCTAGGAGCTTCTTCCAGGTTCCCTGTTTGGGTGCAGGGTCCCAAGAATTGAGCCATCCTCCACTGCTTTCCCAGGCCATAAACACAGTGCTGGATCAGAAGTGGAACAGCCATGACACAAAGTGGTGCCCATATGGGATGTTGCACTGCAGGTGGCAGTTTTATCTACTACACCATAGTGTCTGCCACTTTTGCTAGATTTAGAGTCTTTTTTTTTTTTTTTTACTACAAATGGTTTCCTATTCAGGTGCACAATTAAATATGTATAACTTGTGCACATTTATTTATCACTTCTTTGACATCTTAGCAAAATGTAACAAGCATTTTGTAGCATGGGTTTTTTTTGGGAGTAAGGGCCCATTAGTGCATGGCTCTAGTATTTGTTTATAGAGGCAGCGATGTCTTTGATCACTTCCAATACCCTCAAAAGATGATTACTATAGGTATATAGGGTCAGTGGTTTTTGACTATGGACACCTGCTGGGCGCTTAGCTTTGAAACATGATCAGGGAGTGTGACACAGCAGGGACTGTGCATGGTTTGTGCCTCACACCTGCATTCTTCTGCTTTTCTCCCTTGAGCCACAGGCACTCAGGGCAAAGGGGACTCCAGAAAGTTTGCACTGGGGAGCCTGTGGCTGCTGACTTTGCTGGTTGAGTTTCTCTTTTTCATTCTGTCTTTAGATTTTTACTGTTTCCCGGCCTTCGTGTTCATACTCTTTTGTACTGTAGGGTTTGTTATGAGAAAGATCAGGGGGCTTGAGGGTACCCCTGGGAGGAGCCTGATTTTCACACACGATTTAGTGAGGGAACAGAGTGAGAAAAGGAGGAGATTCTTTAGGAAACGATTCTTTCTAGATTCTCAGAGTCCCTTGGGGTCCATATCATAGAGGCACCTAAGGACTTTCATGATTTTTTAAGCTTTGGCAGACTTGTATGGCTCTGCTTTTTTTCATTTTCCCAGCGAAGATATGAAATACAAATTAAAAAATACTCTCAAAAATGTTCTCCAGGAAAAATAGTAAGGACTGTCTTTTAAAACAGACACTTCTGTTAATACTTTATTTTGAATTGCATTTTTGTGTTCCCTTGCATTTTTAAAACATAGACTTTACCTATTAGAGAAGTTTTAGATTCGGAGTAAAATTGATATTACACAGGCAGACTCATGCAGTGCGTTGCCTTTTAATGCTGGCCTCTCTGACCTAGTGGTTTTGTGCTTGCCATGGCCAGTAAGCTCATTTCCTAGTGCTAAATACTCTGCCCTTGTCTGATTGTATACCCTTTACTTACCATTCATCTGTGTATCTTGCCTGTTTTCAACTTTGAGGGCATCATGAATAAAGATTCTAAAAGCATCATCTACAAGTTTTTATGCAGATATAAGTTTTCAGCTTATTTGGGTACATCGAGGAGTGAAATTGATACTTTGTGTGGTGGTGAGCATCTAGTTTGATAACAAGCCATGAAAACTGTGTTCCAAAGTGGCTGTACCATTTTGCATTCCCATCATCTCTTGTTGCTCCTCATCCTCCAACAACATTGAGCGTTGCCAGTATTTGAGTTTTTATTCTTTCCATTACTGTGTTGGGGTATCTTGTTGTTTGAACTTATGATTCCCCCATACCATGTGGTCTTAAACCTCTTATATACTTATCTGTGCTGAGATAATGTCTTTTTAGGTCTTTTGTCCACTTGGAAAGTTGAGTTGTTCATTTTTTTTCTTTTTTAAAAAAATTATTTACTGTTCATTTGAAAGAGAGTTAGAAGGGTAGAGGTCTTCCACTTGGCTGGTTCACTCCCTCAAATGCCCACAATGGCTGGAACTGGGTCAGGCCAAAGTCAGGGGCTTCTTCCGTGTCTTCCCTGTGGTTGTAGGATCCCTAGCAGTTAGGTCAACCTGGGCTGCTTTCCCGAGTGCATTACCAGAGTCAAATGGGAAGCAGAACAATTAGGACTTGACCTGGTGTCCGTATGGGATGTTGGACACTGTAGGTGGCAGCTTAAGCTTCTGTTTTCTTTCTTGAGATTCAAGAGTTCTTTGTGTGTTTTGGCTAACAGTCCTCTTTCAGATAGGCTTCTTAGATGTATTTGTTTTCCATCTGTGGCTTAACTTCTCATTCCCTTGTGCATTACTTTATTTCAATAGCAAAATATTGCTTGAACACATGTATGAAAAGCCCTCAACCAGTGCCAATTTGTTTGCTTGTGGACATTACCATACAGATTATGCGTAAATTATAAAGTGCTTGAACACATTTATTTGAATGTTTATTTGTTGAAAGTCACTTATTGGCGGGAGGTGGGTTTGGCGGGGAGAGAGAGACATAGAGAGATCAGTCTTTCATCCATCGGTTCATTCCCAGGATGACTGCAATGGCTAGAGCAAGGACAGGCTGAAGCCCACAAGCCAGGAGCTTCATCTAGGTCTCACATGGCTGCAGGGACCCAACCACTTGAGCTATCTTGCATTGATTTTCTCAGGCCGTTAGCAGGGAGCTAAAATGGAAGTGGAGTAGCCAGAATACAACCTGGCATCCAGAGGGGATGCCAGCAGCGCAGGTTGGTGGCTTTACCAACTTTGCCACAGTACTGGCCTATCTTTTCCGATTGATTACTTATTCTGTGGTTGCAACAAGTGTAACTGTTACACAGCAACCTGTAGAATCTCCAGAAGAGCAACATGTGAGCAGTGTGGATTGTTGTGTCACCCGTGTTTCCTCCCAGGATGTTTGGGGAAGCTGTAATCACCAAGAGCCCGTTCAGGACTCAGGCTGGCATTGTCCTGACATGTCTGGATGCCACCTTACAGGAGTAGGGGGTGACTTCAGGGGCACTAAGAGGAAGCTGGAGTAAAATGGTTTCATGATATCTTTAAGAAAATGATGATTATGTTTGAAATCATTTTTTGGGTCCTGAATTCTTGTTAGCATTGCTTCCCTTTTGACATTGCCTTTTATTTGCACTTGTGTGCTTTTGCCATACACAAGGAAGCTTCAAAAAACCTGTGTGAAATTTGTTACTATAGAAAAAAAATCTTTTCTGCTTTTTCAAGTCTCAGTTTGAACTGTTGATTCTTACCTTTGGAGAACTCTTAAGTTGTTCAATATTTAATTATACTCTCTCTCTGCGTTATAGGATATTGTACCTGTGGATGCCTCTTATGAAGTAAAGGAACTGTATGTGCCAGAAAATAAGCTTCATTTGGCAAAAACAGATGCAGAAACATTACCAGCACTGAAAATTAATAAAGTAAGTTCTCTGCTGCTTTTAGAACAAACGATACGACTCTACGTATGGTTATTATATTCAGGGACTTTTGCTGAGTCACCTAGGTGAAACACGAGCCTAGCCAGCTTCCATTAATACTTCAATGTAGAACTCTTCAGTTGTTCAGCATTCTTCTGGAGTATGCTAGAAATCTGCTGGCTTAAAAAAGAGCAGTTTGTTCAGTGAAGAGTAATTTTGTCACAAGGTGGGAACTTTGAGTTTTTTGGTGGGTGCACCTGTTTCTTGAAAATGACATTTGTCTTAAGGCAGTGGCTGTCACAGAGCAGTTTCTAGTCTGTCACTGTTCAGATCATCTGGGAACATGTTAGGGAGACCACATCTTAGCCTGCAAGCACGTATATGAAATCAGAAACTCTGGGGTTGAAGTGATCTTCATATATTTTTTAAAGATTTATTTATTGATGTGTGTGCTTGGGAGAGGGAGAGAGAGGAAATCAGCTGAGAGATCTTCCTTCTGCTGATTCAGTCCTCACATGGCTGCAGTGGCAGGGGGTGGGCCACACTGAAACCAGGAACTCCACCCTCATCTCCCACATGAGTATCAAGTACTTTGACTTCTTCAGCTTCCCTCTCAGGTGTATTAACAGGAGGTTGAAACAGAAGCCGAATAGCCAGGACTTGAACTGGCACTCTAAGGGATGCCAGCATTGAAAGCACCAGCGTAACCTGCTGTGATGTACTGCTATCACCTTCCCATACCTGCGCAACGGTCTGCCTTTTAATAGCCTTTCTGTGAATAGTGATACAAATTAATAACTACTGATTTAGGAGATCCTTATTAGATCCTCTTGGAGACCCAATGTTACTTAAATTTCTGAGGAAAAGCCTTATTTTTCTGGTGCATCTATTCTGTTTGCTTGCTTTCACTGTTTTCAGATTTCAAAAACTAAAGGCCTCTTGTTTGCTCAACATGTGAAATGGAATTTTTGCTTGAATTTCTGATGTTGTAGGTGGATATGCAGTGGGTGCAGGTGTTGGCAGAAGGCTGGGCAACCCCACTCAATGGCTTTATGAGAGAGAGAGAATACTTGCAGTGCCTTCATTTTGATTGTCTTCTGGATGGTAAGTCTTGCTATATTCTCAATTCTATTGTGTATGGAAATGACCCAGTTTAGTCCCTGTTCATCATGTATGTGCCATCCCAGGACTTTGAAATCCAGCAACCCTCACACGTACTCAGCCAGGTCCGTATTATGATCAGTGCCTCAAAATTTCAGGTGAATGAGTCATTGAATACGTGACTAAAAGCTTGGTTCTTCCTCTTCTTTTACATCACAGAGCATTGCCATAAAAGTCGATGTTTAGCATGCTGTTACTACATTCCAGCTACCTTTAACTTTATGTTGTTGTATACTGGTTGTGAAATTAATTTACTGCATTAAAGAAAATATTTTCAATTTTACATAATCCAACTAAATTGTTACCAAGTTCTTGTATATTAGCATTTCTTTTGGCGGGGGCGGGGTGAAACATTAAAGGACATGTGCAGTGACTTCAGAAAACTCATGAAAAGCAGAATGGAAGGATAAATTTCATTTGATGAAAAAATATTTTTGAAATCCTTGCATTTCTTTTAAATAATAGGCATTATCCTTGCACTTCATTTCTTGTTTGAAATGCTGATTAGTTTTCATTGTTGCTTGTTGAAGTAGAGACTTATGTATTTATGTGAAAGGCAGAGAGAAAGAGAGAGAGAGACAGAAGGAGAGATAGAAAGAGAGATAGAAAGACAAATGTCCATTCTTCCACCTGCTGGTTCACTTTCCAAGTGATTGCAGTGACCAGGGCTGGGCAGGCCAAAGCCAGGAGCCTGGGACTCCATCTGGATTTCCTGTATGTGGGTGGCAGGGATTCAAGTACTTGAACTATTATCTGCTGCTGTCCTAGGCTCATTTGCAGGAGGTGGATTGGAAGCAGAGCAGTCTCTACTAGAATTAACCCTCTGGTATGGGGTGCCAGTGTTGCAAGTGTGGCTTAACTTGCAATACAGCAAGAACAGTCCCCCATGAACTATTTAATTTAAAAAAATTGCACAGGTTTCAAACTTTTTTGCATCAAGATAAAACTTCATTTTTAGCCCTGTGTGAGCATGAGGAATTAAACATTGCATTGTGATTTTCTCCTTTGAAATAGTGGTAAAGTCTGGTTGCTTAGTAGTGATTGTTTTTCTCTTTGGGCCTGGTACAAATCTACCTATTACTTTTTCAATTAAACTACATAGTTGGGGTAATTTCAAAAGTAGCCAAGTTTTAAAGTAAGTTTTGCCTAAATTGCCATTGATTTTGTTGATATATTTTGTCCATGGAAGACATGTCATGATTCTCCATAAAGTGTGATAGTTTTAGTATATAAATAAATGAAATATGAATTTGAAAGTGGATTTTATTTTTCTGAACTGTGTATGCTATTATAGCTTGAAATGTCGGGAATTGAGCCTATGACTTTGATCTAGCAACACATTTTGGTTGCATGGAACAGCCACTGGTTTTGCCTCTGGCCAGTAATAGCTGGCATCAGTTCCATTCAACTATAATAATAATAATGACAATAACAACAACAATGATACATTTCTGTAGATGTTTTTGTCTTCCTGTCTCAAGAATACCTAAGTATACTCAATAGAGTCAAGTATATACTTGACTTTTCAATTGTGATACTTGTGTCATCTTATTAACCAACAAGGAATTAAATTTTCTTGGAAAGATCTGGCAGTGTAGTTATTTGTCTTTTCCATGTATTACGGATTCATATGATGTTTTCAGGGACATTGAGCTTAACCAACTGGTCATTCTTTGTTAAGCATTTTTTTTTAATGAAATGGTGTACTGAAGATTTCCTGCCTGGCAAAGACAGTTTGATGAGATAAGAGTATTACTATATGCGGGGTTGATTCTGTTGTTACTTTCTTAATTTTAATTCCTGGGGTGGTTTCTTGTTTCTTCCAACCTTGGAGCTTTTTTCCTCTGCCAGTTTTCTTTGCCAGGTACCATCTAACACAGATCCTTTTATTATTGCAGGAATGGAAAGGTGGCTGTTGGAAAGACCTGTATAGTAATCAGAGCTGTGTGCCTTCTGTTCTTTTGTGCCCTGCAGGGGGTGTCATTAACCTGTCAGTGCCTATAGTTCTGACAGCCACTCACGAAGATAAAGAGAGGCTGGATGGTTGTACGGCGTTTTCTCTGGTGTACGAAGGCCGCCGGGTGGCTATTCTTCGCAATCCCGAGTTTTATGAGCACAGGAAAGAGGAGCGCTGTGCCAGACAGTGGGGGACAACCTGCAAGAACCACCCCTACATCAAGGTCCGGAGTAAACCTAGCTGCGGTTTGTGTGGGGATCTACAGGTTGCCTGTTTGTGGACACTTTCATGGAGATTGATGATATTTTGCAGTCATGAGACCTGATCTCAGATTGTGTGTTGAGCATATGGTTGGTTCTGTCATTTTGGCCCAGATAAATATTTACTTGATAGTTATTTGAAACATATCTACTATGATTTGCCAGATGCTGGACCTGGTGCTGGATCTGGGAAGGTAGAACTGAGAACATGACAGGCACAGGGTTTATATTGTTGGTATTCATAGTTCAGCAGTGGAATCCCATGTGAATCATGTACCCCCAGTGAGAAGAGGTACTCTGGGAGCCCAAGCCAAAGCAGTTGGTTCTTTCTGAGCTTTAATGTTGCATTTCTAATATGAAAGCTAAACATGGTTCGTCTTCCCCAAAGTGGCTCATTAACATTGTATATTGAATGTGCTGATGTGTCACATTTCTCCATTTTTGTTAGGTATTTCAAGGTACACTAAGATTTAGAAGGTAGGTAGGTTGTTGATACAGAAGGCAAAGCAGTGTGGGGAACAGGGTGGGCTTGTGGTGCGTGGTGGACAGGTCCTGGGGGGCACCATTTCCTCCTTTGATATGCAGGAGAAAGATGAATGATGGAATTTCAGGTAGTACTGGGCTGAACTTGTGGCTAACACAGCGATCAATATTCAGAAATTGCGATCAGAGAACACAAAGCTGGTTGAGCCAGGATCACCAATCACCCCACTAATCAGCACAAGGCAGTCATGCAGAGTGCTTGTGTTACTGGAGTAACCATTCACATTGGCTTTGTTTACTTTGCATGTGTAAATACTGAAAATTGTTTCACAAGCTCTATGAGAGATTACGAAATAGATTCTGATTCTCCATCACCTCTTAATCTCCATTCAGCTAAGCCCTTTCAAATTTACCATTAAGTGTAAGGTGAGAATTTACCAATGTATTTAGCATGTTGAAAGCAATGTTCTTGTTGTAGTGTTGCTGTGTGTTTAAAAACGTTTTCTTTTTGTTTCTAACAGATGGTTATGGAGCAAGGAGATTGGCTGATTGGAGGAGATCTTCAAGTCCTGGACCGAATTTATTGGAATGATGGTCTGGATCAATATCGTCTTACTCCTACTGAGCTAAAGCAAAAGTTTAAAGATATGAATGCAGGTAAGATGTGTGCCTAAATATGTAATATGAGGCAACTTGGAGAGAGTTCTAGCAGGTATTTTCCAGCGCTTCCAGAATGTAAAACAGCATGACGAGTGCTCGTGAATGTAAATTTAGCAATGTACTCCATAAGGAAAGGCAGTTAAAACCTACCTGTGCAGTTTTGTTATATTAGAATAATTTGATCTAATACTGCATTGCATATGGAATTGAAGATGGATGCCAGTAACAAATTGACCTTTATGTGTTTATTATAAGATGTGTGTTAAAGCTGAACAGGGGAATGAGTAATGACTGATATAACCCAATTACAGCACCCCATTCTCTGTTGTCAGTGTGTGATTTAAGATCAATGTTATGTCCATTCTGGCTGGTGAGATATATAAAGGGGGACTTCTGGGAAAGAGTTCCCTTCACGACAAGACATATGTCATGATATCCCATCTCACCTTCCCCTGTCCCTGAATAAAAACCACTTCCTTCGCCTGCCTTTCTGCCATTCTTTTTCTTCTTGCTTTGGGTATTGTGCGTTTGGAGCTCCTGCAGCCATTTTTTATCCATGACAATTCCACAGATGCTAGCACATGTTCTAAAACAATTATTGATATGATTTTGAAGTCCTCTATTTCCAGATTTATTATTCAAAGAAGAGATGTATTTTTAAATTATGTAAGACACTTCTCTTTGAGCCTTTTGTGACTTGCATCCAGAAGCATGTGATGGTTTGTTACATGTATATTTCTTTTTTTTTTTCCTCTTGGCAAACAGAAACATGTTTAATTGAGAACTTGCTGAGACCACCTTATTTAACTTGTTGCCAAAATTTGAAATCATATCTGGAATATGTTGGTAAATTATTTTTTGGCACTGTTGAAGGATCTTATCAAGGAACTTTTTGGTTCTTAATTACAAAGTTTTGTATTACATCTGTTTTGCACTCTTCTGGTGAGCCAAACATTTTAAGTCATTTAGAGAATTTCTTGCATAATAAGCGATTGCAAGTTTGTTTAAAGTAGCTGAGAGCCAGTTATTAGCCTTACATCAAACAACAACGATTTCTGGTGTTGCTTTGTTTACTTTTCCACTTTAGGCAAGGGCAAATAAGCAACAGATCAAGGCGTTTGCTTTGTAGTTCCTGCTTGCTCTTTTAGGAAGCCCATGGCAAGCCAACTATTTGAGTTTTAGGGTGAGAAAGCGTGCGATTTCTTCTCTCTTTTCTCCTACTCCTTTCATCTTAGAAGTGATTGTGATTAGCCCCTGTGGGCCATTGTCTTTTGCTGGTTAATGCAATCAGCTGGGCTGTTCTAGACAGTTCTGTGGCTGGAAGGCTTGAGGCTTCAGCGACTGCAAGGTGAGACCTTTCCAGATGGCAGGTTCACTGCATTGCTGAGAATTGACCCATATCCTGGAAGGGAAGAATGAGCTTCACTTAAGCCAAGTCAAGAGCCTGTTAACACTTATTACACACGGAGTGTTGTTGTCTTGCTGATTACAGAGGGAAAAGTCAACACAGTTTCTTTAAATTAGTGCATGGCAGTATGTTGTGTAGTAAATGGAGAACACTTTGTGGGGCCTTTGAATTACACATTGTGTTTTAAATGAATGAATGGAGATGTTAGAAGGATACTGTAGGCAAGGCTGGCAGGAGCAGAAGCCTGTCTGTGAAGTCAGTGGGCTTTCCTGACTGACCCTCAGCAAGCTGGAGATGTTGTGGTCTGAGATTGGTTGAGGGGAGCTTCTCTCAGTCAAGGTCCAGCAGAAGATGGGACCCTCCCTCAGGTGAGGCTGTGGACATACCTTAGCAGAGGGAATGTGTCGAAAAGACAGGGTTAGGGAAGGCCATCGGTGGGATTGTTGAGACACCCAGGAACCTGCAGCATAATGGGACAAGGGAGGAAACTCTGGTTGCTCGGTGAGGTGGGAGCTGCAGCTATGAGGGGTGCTGGGCCAGAGTGAGCTGTTGGGGAAGTTGGCACAGGCTGAATGACTTGTGTGCCATGGGGCTTGAGCTCTGCCAGTAGCTTTTCTCCCTCTGCTCACTGCTCCTGTTTCCTGTCCTGGAAATAGGAGGATACCCCAAGGGGACCCCCCCTCCCTAGTCTAGGGCAGCATAAAACAAACACTATGGGGGAGTAGAGAATAAACACAGAGCTGGGTTGGCCAAAAGTCTTATGTGGTGTGCGGTTCACTTCATTTGAAAGCATTTGTAGTGTGAAGGTAGGAAACCGTCCATTTCCACCATCCTTTGGGGTGATGCCGAGAGTTCCAGGCCGTGAGAAATTCTAGTGAATGCCTTCCTCAGTGGCCTCTTAGTGTTTCCTCCCCGTCATAGCTTACATAAAAGATTGATAGTTTTGGGCTGGCACGGTGGCTTATCAGGGTAATCTCTTGCCTGCAGCACCAGCATCCCATATGGGCACCAGGATTGCCCAATTCCTTGGCCCCCTGCACCCATGTTGGAGATCTCAAGGAAGCTCCTGGCTCCCTGCTTCCAACCAGTCCAGCTTTGGCCATGGTGACTGTATGGGGGATGAACCAGTGAATAGAAGATTTCTCCCTCTCTCTCTTCCTCCCCCGACTCTCCCCATGTCTCTCTCTGTAATTCCTACTTTCAAGCAAAATAAATAAGTCTTAACAAAACAAAGGACTGATAACTTATGAGAGTTATGGAGCAGATTCTTCTGTATTCCCAAATTCTTTTTTAAAAACTCCCCCAAACGCAGATGGGCATGTGCATGTGCACACACACACACACACACACTCTCTCTCTCCCCCTCTCTCTTCTGACAACTCTGGAGCTACACCAGAACCATCTTGATTAGCTGCCATGTTGGTTATGGGAAATGTGAGATACCTGGTCTTGGAGCTTGAGAGTGGATAAAATAGCAGGTGGATCTTGGAGGCCACTGAAAAAGGAGGCCAAACCAGTTACTGATGTATGTAGGACAGAGAAATGAGAAGGGGGCAGGCAGCAGTGATCACTCTGGGTCTGTGATTGGGATGCGTACTGGGACTCCAAGGCTGTGTTGAAGCACGGTTCTCAAATTATCTGGGGAAGGGAGATCAGGATTTGGGAGAGTTTCCTGGATATCACCCCATTGATTCAGTCCTTGGACTGCAGTGTCCTGGCACACACCTGACAGTTACAGAGCCACCACTGCCCCTGCCAGCCTCACTACTGGACAGTATAATTGTGGCGCGTCCTGCAGTAACCGAGGGAAGTCAGCATTTCCGCTTCTCTCCCACCAACAGGAGATGCTCAGAAGAATCTCCCCACATTCTTCCCACCTAGCTGCTGTAAGGAAAGAACTTAGACTTAACTTTGTTTCTGAAGTGTGTGGTTCCTGTGCTAGGTAGGGCAGGATCCAGAGGAGAGGGCAAGAATCCCTCATACTGGGAATCCTTCAGTTGCAGGAGAAAGAAGTCGCTTTGGAGGCTTGACCTGAGTTTGGCTTCTGATGTGACAATGACAGTGAAGGTGGAATAACTGAGTGAATGGAGGAAGAGATGAGCGATGCATATCAACATGTTTTTCATAATCAGTCTGTTACTGATGAATTAGAGGATAAGGGCTTAGAGATATGGCTAAGAGAAGCCATCTGTGTGTGAACAATAATTGCATCCAGGTGAAGGGGCAAATTTCCTGAATGAGGATATAGAGAAAGAATTGCACAGGCCCAACAATGCACCCTGTTGCTCAAAGAGGCCCCCGGGATGTCAGAAATAGGTGGTTAGACTGAAGTGCCCAAGCAGAGTGTGAAACATCATGTATATTAGATGTTAATTGCACAAACATATATACACCAAAAGAAGTAGAAGAACGCAAATAACCAAAGAAACAATAGAAGAGAGTATTTGTGAATGACTTTTCCCTTAGATTTTCTTGCTCTAAAGATATACTTTTCTTCTTGTGGAAGGCAGAGTTACAGTGAAAGAGATTTTCTATCTGCTGGCTCACACACTAAATGACCACAGTGACTGGGGCTGTGTGTGGTCAAAACCAAGAGCCAGGAGCTTCTTCTGGACCTCATGAGGGTGCAGGGGTTCAGGGACTTGGAACATCTACTGCTGCTTTCCCATGCATATTAGGGAGCTGGATTGGAAGTGAAACAGCTGGCTCTCAAACCAGTACCCATATGGGATGTTGATATCCCAGGCCCCTCCTCTCACATTTTCTTCATGGTTTTTACTTCAAACAACTAAAGGTGACAGATGAAACAAGAAAGATCAATGTCATGGCTCACAGGCCTTAAGACTCTGAAGACAGGCAGAATTTCATGGCAGAGGCAATGGGAAGTTCAAGACCATGTGAACAGGAATGCACCTGTTTGGCAATGAGGAACTGATTTAGCACGTGAATTCGTGTCAGCCAGACTTAGAGGGAATGACGTTCCTTTTTAATTTGCACTTTTTAGTCTCCTGTTAGTGGATGCTTAATTTCTTTTCTGGCTGTATTACAAGCTCCTGGGAACAGCTTGCCTGGATCTGGACTGTCTTCTTGTCCCCAACTAGTTCCTCCCCTGCCTTTGCCCACTCTGGGAGCTGTGTGGAGGCAGGATTGGGGAGGGAGTCCAGTTAAAGGGGTAAGTCCTATGAGGAGACAGGGTATGGCTGTGCATGTTAGCAACAGAAAATAGAGTTGTACTTCACTGCATGGGGAGGGTGGAGCAGGCAAGCAGTAGAAGATCGGAGGTAGGTGATGCTGCTGTTGTACTCTGGGTATGGAGCAGGACCAGGGGTGCAATGGTGCCTGGCTGGCAAGAACTGCATTTGAGGTGAATAGGGAGCTTTTGAAGGCAGGTGGAGAGATGGTCTGAGCTGTGGGGAGAAATGCAGATGTACAAGTCACTCACATGGGGAGCCCTGCTCAGTAGCCCAGGCACGTGGCTGCTGGATAGGGAAAGGTTTCAGGGAAGGGCAGCATCTGTCTGCTGTTGTCACACAGTGTGACCTCATTTACCAGTGTGCAGGTTGTATGAGCCTGTCTGGTATCCAGAGGGACAGATAGATTGGTGACTGCCGTCTTAGATGGGAGCTGAGGGAACATGCCCCTGGCCAGGTGCCCTGATGTGTTGTCCCTCCTCTCTGCCTGCCACGCTGCTCCCCGACAGCCTTGCACAGTCCCTTACACTGCTTGTTTGTAGAATGTTACCGATGGCTTCACTTTTCACTCATGAGCATCTGGCCAGCATAGGTAGGATGCGCGCTTCCACACCTCCCTCACACCACTCTTTACTTCACCTCAGCATGTGCTATCTTCCTGAGGTCAGCACCCTGGAGCCTGAAGGTTAGATCTGGCCTGTGGTCAGTTTTTGTAAATGAAGCTTTATTGGAAAACTGCCACATTTGTTCATTGGTACATTATGTTTGGCTGTTTTTGTACCAAGATCAATGTGGTAAAAACTGTATTTCACGGCCGGTATAAGGACCTTGTAGCCTGCAGGGATTAAAATATACATTGTGCACCTTTACAAAAGGAGTTTGCCTTATTCGTGGTCTTGACAGCTTTATAATGTACTGCGCTGAGGTCAGGCCCGGGGACAGAAAGCTAGATAGAAATAAAAATTATGACTATTAAAATTAACCTTTGGCCTTCTCTAAGCACAGCAGAAGCATTCATTGGTGCCTAATAATAGAAGCAGTGGTTCAGGGCAGTTTATAAGGATGAGGCAGCATAAAGGAAGGGAAAGAGGCAAGAGATACAATGTGGCGCTAAAAGTTGTGCAAGAATCAGAATGACAGATTAAGCCAGGAAAAATAATTTCCTAAATTGAAGAATATTAGTTCTGCTACCCAGTAGACAGTTTTCATCTGTTCTGATTTGAAAGGCAGGGTCAGAAGTGAACTTGCTTCTCGATCTGGGGCAGGGGAGTTTGGGACTCCTAGGAAATGGTCAGAAGAGTTTTTTGATCTTGGATGTCCATATGTAAGGCAAAATTTGAAGTAAATTCCAAAGGACAGAGAAATATCCAGGTCTGTGTCTCTCCTCCCATTCAGAGCAGCCCAAGCTAGAGCTTCATATGGGACCCTAAGTGGTGCAGGGGACCAAGAACTTGGGTAATTTTTTTCTGCTTTCTAAATTACGTTGGCAGGGCCAGCTTGAATTTAGAGTATGCATATATTCGCTCCATCTTGGTATCAAGCTTCAAGGAAGAGTGCTCACCTTTGAGAAATGTACTCTGCTTAATTCTTGACATTCTCTTTTCAGATGCTGTCTTTGCTTTCCAGTTACGCAACCCAGTGCACAATGGACATGCTCTGTTAATGCAGGACACTCACAAGCAGCTGCTCGAGAGAGGGTACCGGCGTCCAGTCCTCCTCCTCCACCCTCTTGGAGGCTGGACAAAGGATGATGATGTTCCTTTGATGTGGCGCATGAAGCAGCATGCCGCCGTGCTCGAGGAAGGCATCCTGAATCCTGAAACCACCGTGGTGGCCATCTTCCCATCTCCCATGATGTATGCGGGGCCAACTGAGGTAGGCTGCTCTTCAGGTTTTCACGCAGTGACAACAGCCACTCCCATAAACACAGCCTGTGTCACCGCCAGATGACACTGATTTCTCGCTAATGTATAGATCTATTCCAAACACTTGGCATACCTGGAGGTTGACTCCCGAGAGATGGCTTCTTGGGAAAGGGAAGGAAGGGAGATTCCTGATATTGTTAATGTGGTTTCCCCTGCAGAGACAGGACAGCTGGGAGGTTGGGAGACAGGCTCGTCTTGTGAGTGCTGGCTCAACAGCACAGGCAGAGCTTGACCACACAGATCACATTTCGTTAACAAAGACCCCAGGGTTGGATTGGAGCTGCTTTTTGCTTCTTCTGTATTTTCGAAGAGCTCAAGGGATTTCAATGAGAAGAAAAGTTTGGTATCTTTAAAAAGAAATCATTCAAGAGGCATTCTTCATCAGCTCTTTTGTGAAGGACTAACACATAATGGAGTCAGGATATAAAACTGCTTCTTAATACTTAGGGAGGATTCTGGAGTTTTACTTTGTGGTGAACAGAAAGGATGTTTGAGACCTTTTTTTATCTATCCACAAAGAACAATTCTTAATTCGATTTTGTCTTCTGGAGGAGTAGATTCTCAAAAAGTATTTGTTGAATGAATAAATCAACGAATGACCTCAGAAACAGTGGGTTTCTGTTTCTGAGGGGAAATTCCCAGCCAGCTTCTGATTTGAGTTTTATAGATAAAGGAATGGAATGTACCCTATCACATTTTTATTCCTGCCTTAGAGGGAGGTGAGTTCATTTAGATTAGTCTGGGAGGCAAAGTCTTTTAAAAAGGATTTTTAATAATTGAGCTGCATAAACTCTGTGATATCTTAGTGGGGAGGTCAGGGGGGAACCTAAGAAGGGAGTCCAAGTGCATTTGCTTATTTGGGTTCAGGCCTAAAAATTTTTATTGGAGTTTTGTTGTCAGGTTATATGCTCTATTACCTCTTTATCCAAGAAAAACAGACAAAACCCAGCAGAAACAACAAAGTGAAAGATTAAACTGTATTTGATTCTTTTAGATTCATCCTAAATAGTGTTAGCTCGTGTTCTCCCCTTTGCTGGTTTAATGCGTGTTTGTTAGGATTGGCCCTCGATGGCCCACTTGACCCTGTGACCTTAGTTCTTGTTTCGTGAAAAACAGCAACTAGTGTTGTTTTGGAAATAAAGTTAGATTTTTTTTTAAAAAGGCTTGTCTTTATTTATTTCAAAGGCTGTGCTGAGCGTGAGAGCTCTTCCATCTGCTGGTTTACTCCCCAAATGGCTGCAGAGGCTAGAGCAGTTCCAGGCTGAATCTAGGAGTCAGAAGCTTCTCTGGGTCTCCCACATTTGTTCAGGGATCTAAATGCTTGAGTCAGCCTCTTCTGCTTTCCCAGTCATGTTACCAGGGGGCTGGATTGGAGGTGGTGTGGCCAGGACTTGAATTGTCCATACGAGGTAGGATCATCACAGGCAGCAGCTTAACTTACTATGCCACAGTGTTGGCCACCAGAGAGATTTTTTAATGATTATTTCCCCAGCCTCTGTTTTTGATGTTGGCAATATGATTATCTAAGAAGTTATTTCATTTGAAATTCTCCTGAATGTTAGGATGAACTTTGTTTTAAATGTGAAAGTAGCTCAGATGAGGTTAGGACAGAAATAGCTTCTTGTCAGTCACCTCATTAATACCAATCAACAGAGTGAAGTAATTTGCCTTCCCTTTTTAGGATCTGTTTTGTCTGCTTTCTGTTTCTTGTAGCCTATCTAAAAGAGGAAGAGATATGAAATGTTATCAACTAAATAAATTAAAAACTGTGGTTAAAGTGGGGAAAATAGGGAGGGTAGATGAAATAATAAAAGTAGCTATCTATAGTAAAAAACTATATCTTTCCTCAAGGGAATGTCAAAAAGGATCAGGCAGGCTGTTTTTATAAATTAGATTTCTATGTCTTCTAGCATTAGCACAAGCAACATTTTTAAAGGGAGAACCATGAAGAAAGGTGTCCAAAGGCCCCTGCAGGTACAGTCTAGCTTTCCTTAGAGGTGTCCCCACAGCAAGGCAGTGCCTGAGTTGTGTTGTTGGACAGAGGAGATTGCTTTCCTCTCAATTCTTGGTTGAGATGCAAAAGACGGACTAATGAGAGAAAAGCATGGCGATTATTTAATACCAATCTAACATGGGACAGGCACCTTCAGAAATGAAGACCCAAAGAAATAAGGAAGGCTGTGCGTTTATTTTGATGCTTAGACATGATGAATAGTGGCTGGTTGATTAGTGGTGTGATTGGACCAAGGAGAATGACCAAAGGGTAGTAAGCAGAGACAAGAGACTGAACAAGACCTGACTATTCAGATTTTTTTTTTTTTTTGTATCCTTGTATCTTCAGCGTTCCTTTCCTCTGGGTTTGGGGAGGGCCAGCCCCTGGAATAAGAGTCTAAGACTTCAGTGGGGGAACAACTGGGTTTCGTGGCATAACTCCAGGGAGAAGTTAGTTGGTGAGACTGGACTTCTTGCTTCTGTTTGCTGAAATGCCAAGGGGTCATATTCTGGGGCTAGCATGTCCTGAAACTCATCAGTTGCCTAACTCGGACAGGACCTTTTCTGGCCTTGGATCTGACTGTGGTTACTACCCAACCAGAACATGGTTTAGCACAAAGAGTGAAAAGACTGTAGTCAGGGAATCCAGATGTGGTTCCAGGGCTGATTTGTCATCAGCTAGTTTGGGATCTCTGGTTTGTCATCTTTAGATTTTTCTGGGACATTCAGTGTTTAGTGATGAGTGATTTAGAGTGCGCAGTATGTGGGAGTAAATACTCTTTTTTTTGGTAAGATTTATTTTTATTGGAAAGGTAAATTTACAGAGAGAAAGATCTTCCATCTACTGATTCCCTCCTTAAGTAGCCACAACAGCCAGGGCTGAGCCAGAAGCCAGGAGCTTCTTCTGGGTCTCCCACATGTGCTCAGGGTCCCAAGGCTTTGGGCCATCTTCTAATGCCTTACCAGGCTACAAGCAGAGATCCAGATGGGAATTGGGGTAGCTGGAACACAAACAGTGCCCATATGGTAACCCAGGCATTCTAGGCGAGGATTTAGCCACTGAGCTATTGAGCCAGGTTGGGAGTTAATGTTCTTTAAAGTTCAGTCTTGTTGTGATCATTTTAAAATTTGACTTATTTTTAAACATCATATTGAATTTTAACTATACATAGGGAAAAGTGTCCCTTTTCTAAGTGTCCAATTAGATGTGTTTTACCCATGTGAACATAGGCATGTAGCCAGTGTCCAGCTTTTCTTAGAGGTGTGTCAGCACGCAGAAGCCCTCCCTGCTATTGCTGTCTATTCCTGCCAGTTCCTGCTGCAGCCATCATCACTGTCCTTCCAGCTAACACCAGAGACTCCATTTGCAGGTGTTGAAGCGTGAATTCTTGGACGCAGACCCTGAGCGTGAGATGAGAGTGCCAGTAATTCATTCCGGAGAGCAGCTGGGATCAAGGAAGGGAAGAGAAAGGGAAGAAGTAAGATTGGGCAGAGGGAAAGAGGGAAAGGTTGAGCTGCTGTTAGTGCTAGTAGAGGCTTCGGTTCACTGGACCGGGAGGTTAGGCAAGGCCCTGCGGGGGTGTCCTAGGCGGCCTGGGAAGTAGGCAACCCGACTGAGTTGAGCAGTCACTGGCTGACCAAGGAAGGGTATGCAGGGGAATTGTCGTCCTGAGGCGACTTGGGCGTCGCCTCACGGCATTCAGGCCAGCCTGACTTCATGCTGCTTGTAACAGATCATACAGCACAGGCCCTCGAGTGTCTGGCTTCCTTGACATGACATCATGCTAATGGGAGCCACCCTTTTGTTGTGTCTAGTTGGTGACAGATTGTTCCCACTTCTGCAAAGCATCTATTGTGGGGTTGCACACTGGATCCTGGAGGGGCATTGCAACACTTTCCAGGGTTTTGCTGTGAAGAATAGGACTGGCACAAAGAGATGAGTACCTGCCTCTGTGTGAATGTGCCTGTCGGTTATCCCTAGCAGTCCATTCACTGAGTCTTGGGACATGCATATGCATTTGTTCAACCTGAGTAGATCCTGCTCCTATTTCATTTCCAGTGTGGTTGCACCATTGTCCCACACACCGCACCCCGAGCAGCTAGGTATTTTGTAACTAGTACGTGGTTGTCTCTTTGATTTTCACTGTTTCGCTCTTTTAGTCCTCACTAGCCAACTGCTCTGAAATACGTTTACTGTTTATTGACCAACCTCAGAAATCTCATTGGATAAGTTTCCCTGAAGAGGAAACAGAGATGTATATAAATAAATGAGTTTTAGTTATAATAATGAAGTAAAATGTTATACATGTAATTTTTATTGAACTGTTGCTGTATTTGCCAAGCAGTGTTCTAGGTTCCTTATATATTAAGTAGCGTAATCTTCATGACAACATTTGAAGTGTAGGTACCATTATTATTTGCAATTTTCAGATGAAGAAACTGAAGTAGTAGTGTTAAATAACTTAATGAAATTTCATTGTCAAAAATAATAGGGATGGAATTTGAATTAGTGCAAACCAGAGTCATGCACTGTAATTTCACAGAATTTTAATTACTATTATATAGCATGAAAAAAAAAATTTAAGAGATTTACTTATTTTTAATAAAAGGACAGAGAAAAAGATCTTTCATTCATTCCCCAAGTGGCCGCAATGGTCGGAACTGAGCTGATCTGAAGGCAAGAGCCGGGAGCTTATTCTGGGTCTCCCACACAGGTACAGGGTACCAAGGGTTTAGACAATTCTTTACTCTTTCCGAGGCCACAAGCAGGGAGCTGGATGGGGAGTGGAGCAGCCAGGACACGAATTGGTTCTAATATGGGATCCTTGGTGTATGGAAAGTGAGGATTTATCCATGGAGCCATTGTGCTGAGCTCAGCATGAAAATATTTTAAAAAATAGGTAGCTATATATTTTTTGAAATAAGCTGGAAGTAAATTCCTGTATGAATTCTAAAATA